CCTCCAAATTGAAAACGATTCGATATGTTGCATACAATGCAATTGCCACTTGCACACAAGATCTGGAAATCTGCACCCTAGAGCATACCTTCTCGGCCTTTTGGCTATGATCAAGTGTAGTATCTGTTCTTATCAGTGTGACAACTGATATGTCTCCAACTGGAGACTTGCTTGTCACATCTATTTTTGCTGGGGAAGTGTCTTCATGAGCTCGCTCAGAAGCCTTCACGTGTTGCGCTGGCATCGCACCAAGCCAGTGGCAGCACACCCTACTGGGGTAACTATGCTCGGCCAAGAATGGAAGAGGCGGTTGCTGCCCATTTTCTTAATTTTGCTTTTTGAAAAACTGGAATGATTATAGTTCTAGCTGCCGGTTTTCTTAATCTTGCTGCTTGCTTTTTGACAACAGGAATGATTAGTTCTAGCCACAAAATGATTCCCCGGAGGATCCAGCCTCAGGCATCCTTGCGGAAGGGGCAATAGCGCTATCAGTGACGCTTAGCGGAGGTGCGCTGTTTGCTAGTTGAAAACTACTCCAATTCCCGTCAAGTTTGATCGTCAAGGTCATTCTTGCAATTTTTACGTGGGCTTCGGCCCAACAACATTGCACACTAACTGGTGACTGGTGTTCTGCAGCAAGGTTGCTGCTGTTTCTGGACGAAACCCTGCTGCATGCAGATGGTTTTGGCAGCTCCAGCTCCATGCATGTTGCAACGGGCTGCTTTGACTTTGACTGTTGGAAACTGCTTGCACACGTCGAGAAAACGGTGGAACTCTGAGGCTCGATCCATAAATGTCTGTATGCTGAGCACTCTGAAGCTTGTCTGCAGAAGCCGAAAGTTCCATGCCTGGTCATCACAGCGTGCACTTCATAGCGCACCAATCTTTCGCCTTTTACTAAAGGTTGCCGTGAATGGGACGCATCAATGTGACTCACACAATTTTTGGGGAGCTCTGAGCTCCAACGAACAGAACGAACAGAGAACCAATTACTGCCGGCGGAGCTAGGTCGGTCTGCTGCTTCTAAATCGAGCTGTGGCACATCTTTAAGCCCACACAATGTTTGGAACCTGCTCTGATCATCGATGCCAGAACACTGCACAAGTGTTCCCAGCCAAGCAAGAAGTAGAGCTTTTCGGGTTTAAAGCTTGCTAGTGCCACACTTGGTCAAAGCCAGAACCCACAGTTCTCGCTTTGATCTGATGTGTACAGGAAGTTGCGGGCCAAGACTAGGTTTATTGAGCCATCTTCTTTTCAGGGAGAAACGGAAGTCGGACTGCAAGAAAGGACCTGCAAAAATCGTCGGACTGCTTACACAGCCTACTTGAACCAAATCATGGCTTGCAAGAAAAATGCAGGTTCTGCATAAACTTACCTGGCTAGTGTTGGGCGGAGATCCAGCAGCTCGCTCTCATAGGGTCGAGCAGTTCACGGCACTCTGAGGCCTGTAACGCCTTAGGAGTCTCCGATGGAGTCATCCATAGCAGAATTTGTTGAGAGGCAACTAGCTTGTGAGCTGTTGCCAACTGACATGACGTTTGTCCTTCAAAGCCATGCTGCCCCGGAAACCTGGTTGCCCGTCTGGGGTTCTTGAAAGCGATAAGGTTTGGTTTTGTAGAGGTTACGGGATTAAAGCTTTGTTGGGGCTTGAAGCGGAGTCATGGAAAGCCCGGACCGACTTGGCCCAACTCGGACGATCTCAACCCCAAACCCGCCGAAAACCACAAATTCCAAACCAACCTCAAACCCAAAATTCCAAAGCTTCCAGCGGCAGCGGACCTTTTTTTCCTTCCCAAACCCCAAACCTCGAACTCTCTTCACCCAACCCAACCCGGGACCGGACTTTTTAACTCTTAAACCCCAAACAGCCGGACCCTGGCAATCGAACCAGCATTGGACAGTGCCATACGTAACCCCCAAAGCTTGTCTCCGGACTCGGCCTGAACCCCCAAATTGACCCTTTCTCAAACCATCAGACCATCTTGGTTGCCAAATGCAGTTTCAACCCTTCTAAAACATGGCCTCGTACTTTCAACTCAAGACTCGAAATCCAGAGCTTCTCCACCCTGAACTCCAAATGAGAAGTTGGGCAGAGCAACTGAATCTTGCTCGGACGTTCTTTCTTGGAACCTCCAAATTGAAAACGATTCGATATGTTGCATACAATGCAATTGCCACTTGCACACAAGATCTGGAAATCTGCACCCTAGAGCATACCTTCTCGGCCTTTTGGCTATGATCAAGTGTAGTATCTGTTCTTATCAGTGTGACAACTGATATGTCTCCAACTGGAGACTTGCTTGTCACATCTATTTTTGCTGGGGAAGTGTCTTCAGGAGCTCGCTCAGAAGCCTTCACGTGTTGCGCTGGCATCGCACCAAGCCAGTGGCAGCACACCCTACTGGGGTAACTATGCTCGGCCAAGAATGGAAGAGGCGGTTGCTGCCCATTTTCTGAATTTTGCTTTTTGAAAAACTGGAATGATTATAGTTCTAGCTGCCGGTTTTCTTAATCTTGCTGCTTGCCTTTTGACAACAGGAATGATTAGTTCTAGCCACAAAATGATTCCCCGGAGGATCCAGCCTCAGGCATCCTTGCGGAAGGGGCAATAGCGCTATCAGTGACGCTTAGCGGAGGTGCGCTGTTTGCTAGTTGAAAACTACTCCAATTTCCGTCAAGTTTGATCGTCAAGGTCATTCTTGCAATTTTTACGTGGGCTTCGGCCCAACAACATTGCACACTAACTGGTGACTGGTGTTCTGCAGCAAGGTTGCTGCTGTTTCTGGACGAAACCCTGCTGCATGCAGATGGTATTGGCAGCTCCATGCATGTTGCAACGGGCTGCTTTGACTTTGACTGTTGGAAACTGCTTGCACACGTCGAGAAACGGTGGAACTCTGAGGCTCGATCCATAAATGTCTGTATGCTGAGCACTCTGAAGCTTGTCTGCAGAAGCCGAAAGTTCCATGCCTGGTCATCACAGCGTTCACTTCATAGCGCACCAATCTTTCGCCTTTTACTAAAGGTTGCCGTGAATGGGTCGCATCAATGTGACTCACACAATTTTTGGGGAGCTCTGAGCTCCAACGAACAGAACGAACAGAGAACCAATTGCTGCCGGCGGAGCTAGGTCGGTCTGCTGCTTCTAAATCGAGCTGTGGCACATCTTTACGCCCACACAATGTTTGGAACCTGCTCTGATCATCGATGCCAGAACACTGCACAAGTGTTCCCAGCCAAGCAAGAAGTAGAGCTTTTCGGGTTTAAAGCTTGCTAGTGCCACACTTGGTCAAAGCCAGAACCCCCAGTTCTCGCTTTTATCTGATGTGTACAGGAAGTTGCGGGCCAAGACTAGGTTTATTGAGCCATCTTCTTTTCAGGGAGAAACGGAAGTCGGACTGCAAGAAAGGACCTGCAAAAATCGTCGTACTGCTTACACAGCCTACTTGAACCAAATCATGGCTTGCAAGAAAAATGCAGGTTCTAAAGGGGGGTCCAACCACCCCGAGGAGATCCCACCCGAGACGGTAAGCGAGGCTGCCTTCCGGTTCCATCTCAACAGCTTCGCCGAAGGCCACGATAGCCTCTTCGGCATCCTCGACGTTCTCCGCCGCACTGCAGGCGAGGGCGAGCCGCTCTGCAATGGGCTGCATCGGAGAGGGCCTTGCAGAAGCTGCAGGGCGACGTTTTCGATCTCCTCCCCTAGTAGCCTTGGTGAGGGATTGAGAGCGAGGGCCCGTTGAGACCTCAGGTCCTCCGGGGAGAAACGCCCCGTGTGCGGCTGTATCGGGTGCTGCTCGGAGCTCTCGGTGGCTGAAATCCCTCCCTCGCCCGTGAGGGAGTGTCCGCTGGGACATGAGAAACGCTCCCCGTCGGACAGAGGGTCGAGGGGTGAGGTTCCTTGGGCCTAAGGGCCACTCCTGAGCAGTGCAAGCAGCCCGTGAGGTAGTCGCTGATTTCCAGACAGGGACCGTTGCACAACGGGCAAGGTTTGAGGCACGACGCCTCGTGCCCTAGAGCCCTGGTCCCATCCTCTGGGCCTGTCTGAAGCCAGGGCCCTTCTGTGCTGCCCCGTGGCCTGTTGTGGCCGGATGCGGCCACCTTGGCCTAGGCTGGGGGCTGAGGTTGCTTGAGAACCAGGAGTGGGGACCACGTCCTGCAGGCGCAAAACATATGTAGCTGGGCTCAGGGACTCCGAGTGCACCTGGGCCTTGGGCAGGTTGTTGCCCTCCGGGGGCTGCCATGCTGCCCAGAAAATGGCGTTGGACCTGCGGATCCTGCGTGCCTGGTGAGCGTGACGGCTGCGGCGGTTGCCGAAGTGCTGTGGTCCGCGCCTGCATCCGGGAAGCCGGTTTGGCCGAAAACCTGTCCGGGGAGTGGTGTCCACGATCCCCTTGTCAGGCTCTGAGGCCTGGGAGGGTGAACACACCTCCGAGTTGGTTAAAAACTGCTGTGGCGCAGCCACGCAAAACGATGAAAGAAAGAACTTGGGGCCACTGACACAGCTATCCACTGAGGGCGGGGCTCCCTGTTGTCGTTTGCAAAACTGACGGCTACGACGTGCCGGAAGGACAAAATCATGAGGGGTGTTTTGGCCTCCCTCTTCGGCGGGTGCTGGAGTGGGAAAACCACTTCCATGGAGGCTCACTCCCTACTCTGTGACCTGCTTGGTGTTCTCCTCCTCGCCGGCCATGGTCTCCCCGTTCTTCGGGGGAGTGCGGCTTTGCTGGCGGCCGCCTGTCCCGTCAGCCCCCTTACCCTGCTGGGTCGTTGGCTGCGTGCCTTGCAAGCCAAGGTGGAAGGCAGGCAGCCCCGGAGGCGCACCCACATCGGGCACCACTTCTCCTGCTGCTCGTCAGAGAGGGTCAAGCCCAGGATGGTGACCAGTTCGTCCACATCCATTGGGAGTGACAGGCACGTCCTGTACCCCGGTAGGGGTGCCCACAGCCTTTGTGAGCTCGAGCTTGGCCTTTTCCACCGCATTCTCTGCCTCGTGGATCTTATTCCTTCGCCTCCTCTATGCTCTCCAGTAGCTTGATCTTCTTGTGGATCAGCACGCGGAGGCGGGAGCTGGCCTTGGTAAGGTCCTTGTTGGATTGCATGGCCTTTTCTCCTGGGGACGGCTCCGGGCCCGTGGTTGCCTCCACCAGCGCAGTGCGGATGTCCTCCGGCAGCTCATCCTGGCGCTGTACCAACAGGCTCAGGAGAGGGTCGGTCTGGGACTCGACCGCCTCCTTCTGCTTGGGAGGTCCTTTCCATCCCGCTTGTGTGAGGCGCGCACGCGCATCCTCCGGGATTTGATCCCAGATTGTTGTGACGGCGCGCTTCAAGCGGCGTTCCTCCTCGCGCCTTTCCTTCTTGTCGGCGCCGCGCTGAGGAGAAGGAGAGGGGGTCTTCGGTGGCCGCGGGCTGCCGTTCTGCTTAAGAGCAGGTGCCGGCCACTTCTTGCCACACTGGCAGTAAGGGCTACTGTGCACCTTGTCTGCCCACGTCCACGCCCCGCACTTGCACACGAGGTACTGGCGCTTCTGGCCCATGGCTGAGGAGTGATTGCTCACTTCCTTGCTGCCTTCTTGGCCGGTCAAGGCGGAGGGAAGACCCTATCCGCTGCGGCCTCACGAAAAGCAAGGGGTGGAAGCCACTCCCAAGCCAGGGCACTATGGCTCAAAAGGAGGCTAAAGCTGGGATTATGAGGGCCTCGAACCTGGTCGCACAGCCGGTTGAAAGCCCCAAACCCGTTCACACAGCACTCACTACGCCACAAAAGTGGCACTCGAGCCGAAAACTTGAGCCATTCCTTTTCCTTTTGATCTTCCTCTACCACCTTTTCCTTTTCCGTATCCTCTGCCCTTTCCTTTGTCCTTTCCTTTTCCATAAGGGTTTCCTTTTCCTCCTTTGTCACCTTTTCCTTTTCCATCTCCTTTACCTTTCCTCATGTGCAATCTATCGAGTTCCATCGGAATTGGTCCTTGGTAAGTCTTGTTGCTTGAGTGTGACGTTGGGTCTGGAACACTTAACGATCCTAAGATGTTTCCAGCTGACCATGTCTGATTGCTTCTTTCATATTGTAGCAGCTTTGCTCTTAACTCTTCGTACGTGGTCTTATCAGTGATATCAACCATCACATGCTGCTTGTGGTGCTGCGGTATTCCTTTCAGCAGTGTACCAATCTTCAAGTTTTCATCATACTTCTGGCCTGAGAGCTTTTCGTACTCTGCTGTGAGCTTCTCGTAAGTCAGGACATAGTCCATCAACGATGCTCCTTTGCTCATGGCTGGGAATCCAACCAATGCCTGAGCCATTGCTAGACTCCTTGAACGAGATGTCGGCTCTAATTCAGCCGTCAACTTTCTCCACACTTCAAATCCATTCATCCCGCTCACGCTTCTTAGCACTTTCAGAGGTCTGTTTCTCAAGTAACTGCTTAACACTGAGTAAAGCTTTGTTCCTCTGTTCACCCTTCCTTGTTCATTGTTGAAGAATGTATTTGTCACCTCCATTGTTATCGCGGCTCCTTGTTCTTCTGCCGACTTCAGGTCCTTTAGGAATTCTTGGTCCATGAACGCTAAGAAGTTCTTGAACGTAAATGACCAGTCACTCCATTGTGACACTTCTTCTTCAATCGTTGCTGGATTAAATGATTCCGGTGGCTTGAGGATCTTACCTCCAGTATCAAAACTTACTGAGGCTGGCTGGCCTCCCGTAGGGGCTGCCTTCGGTGATGCTTGGGCTTTCGCCAGTGCATCCATTGCTGTTGTCAATTGCGCTTGCTGCATTGCTGTTCCTTGCGCAACTCTTGCCATAGCTTCTGTAGCTTGACCTAGTGTAGTCATCAGCTGTTCCAACCTCACCTGCTGGGGGTTCGGCTGGCGCTGTGGCTGTTGAGCTTGTTGTTGCTCTTGCATCTTTCCAACACTTTGGCAGGTCCTTATATATCTGGCCCAAGGTCTTCACTTCCACGCTTTTCTCCGACTTCGCAAGGTGCTCTTGGCTTAGCCGTAACTCCTCGCTGTTCTCCGACAGGATGCTCTTGGTAAACCGTAACTTCCTGTTCCACACTTTTCACCTTTTCCAGCTCGTGGCTGGCTTCCCTGGATCTTTGCTTGATCAGCTGCTGGCCTTTGCCAACAGCTCCGCTACCATGAAAGTTTAAACCCTTAGCCTTAAACCAGTATCCTTGTTACAGCACGGCGCGAGCTTCAGATTCTTTTCTCACTACACGCTCTGCTGTCAGGCTGTCTTGAGCCTACGTTTGACCTACGGAGATACGCAGTGAAACTTGCGGTAAATTGGGCATGAGGGAAAATTGAACATTCTGTTACAAGAAGAAGCCGCGCGAGGCAGAGTGAGCTGCAACGTGGCCAACAAAGGCCTCACAAAAGGCTTTGGGGTAGCTGCCATCCAACCGAAAACCTGAGCCTGGAGGCTTGCCATGGCTTACACAACCGGGGAAGGGGCCGCCCATGGACTGAAAAAACATCCCGGTTGGTCACGAGGAGGGTCTTGCGATTGTAGAAGCACCGAAGAAGCATGCAGTCACGGTGACTTGTGGCAAAGAACGTCGAAGCTGAGCAAAGGCTGGTAGCTCCCAAACGGCAGATCCGATGGGATGCTTGACAGAGACACCAACCGAAGGAAAGGATGCAAGGACCTTCTGAAGCAAAGTTGCAACGTTGTCGAAGATAGCGTTAGCCGCCAGCACGCGTGAGGCTCCGGGCTCCTGCAAGTTGGGCAGACCTCTGGGAGAGGCGAAGCTTCGAAAGACACGACCAGTCGTGCCAGTTGGCAGGGAGAAGTGCATCCAAGCGACAGCTCGATTCCGTAGCACGTTCTCTAGAAACTGAAGCGTGAGCGATTCTCGCAAGTCAAGGCGCAGCACATGTGCATACGCCCGGGGAACCTTGTGACCTGCATCAATGGGCAGAATGTCGAACCCTGCCTCTCGAGCGACACTTGAAAGGAGGGCTGAGCCGCGCATACCTCGATGAACAAAGGTTTCTCGAAAAGTCGCGCCTTTCCGGGCTCCTCAGCCAAGCCGACAAGCGAAGGCGAAGGAGGGACATGATTGGCAGATGGCTCGGCACTCGCACGAGGATGCGCCGCTACGGCGGGCACAAATCGGAAGGGCTTGGGAGCCTAAACCCCAAAGACGTCAGGGTTGCAAGCTTATCGCCGTCAAGCTCAGTGAAATAATGCAGAAGGCAACCAAGACAACCCTGGAACCCTTCCACGGCAGAACGAAGTGCGTCAGCTTGTCTGGACGGAACTTGACACAGTCGCCAACCCACTCCAGCGGGCCACCGATTACTTCTTTGCCGTCTAGTACCTGCCTGTCGTCGCCATGCCCCTCAACCCACAACTCACCCCCTGAGAAGGTGCTCAAAGGGAAAACGTAATTCTCGCAAGAGTGGTTTTGCAGATCTCTATCCTCGAAGAGCACAGTGACGGTGCTGAAAGTACACTCGGGGGCCTTCGCACGCACGAAGGCGGTAAGAGCAAGAGTCACAAAAGGATGCAGGCCGCACGTCTTGCGTATGTTCACGGCTCCGCCATGCACGCATGCACGCATGCACCCGTGCTAAAAGACTTGGCAGCTTCATCTCTGAGAGAGGGGCTCATAGGCAGCTTGCGTGCCAAAGCGAGCACGTCGTCCTTAGAGGGCAATCCTTTAGCGAGGATCGCAGCGGCAAAGGCCTCAGGCGAGCCAACCTGTGGCTCAGCATGTTTCGTCATCAATCCACTTCTCAGTTGCTCGAACTCAATCCAAAAACTCGCTGTTGGGGCATGAACAAGCACTCCGCTGGGCATGCGAAAAACTAATGTCCTGAACTAAGCTCGCACTCGAAATCTCACACGATGAATCAAGAGAAGCTCGCACACGTTTGTGGGCAGCTTCTGGGACTGCCTCTGAGGCAGTCGATAACGCCTTAGAGGCGAATTCTGTGCCCTCTTGTCGGGCCTCGGAGGCACGACAAGGATCGCTGGCACCTCGCTTGCAAGCCGTGACTAGTCACGACTGCTTTGCAGCTTTTGCCCTCTCGGGGCAATCAACCGCTGCATGGCTCTTGCCACACTTGGGCCAGGCGCATATGCGCAAGCCTTTGCTGCACCTCCCCCTGGTCACGACCTCCTGGCACGTTTTCAGGTTGAAGCCATAACAGATGCTTTCGCCGGCATTGGTATGCGAGCGACAACCTTCCAGGCCAGCGGGGAGTCTCGACGAAGCTCGAAACTTGTTCTTTCCTTTTCCCTTGCCCTTGCGCGTGGGCACCCAGTGATCGGTATTCACACCAGTAGGTGTGTAAGGACCTGGCCTGGTGTCCTTGATCTGTGGCGCATGCCCAGAAGGCCTGGGCATCGGCTGCAAGATATGCAGCACCTCTGGGGCCATCCATGTGTCTTCGAATACGATGTCCAGTGGACGACCACTGGGAGTGGCCTGAATGCCGGAGCGCGTTCTTTCAGCTAAGAGCTGAAATAGTTCCCTGTCTGCAAGCTGAATCTGAAGCTGATTGAATGTAGTTTGGACGTGCGTCTGAGGCACCTGGTCCAAGCGAGCACACAACAAACGCTCCACCCACTTTGCATGAAGACTGTAGTCAAGCAAGTTTCCCATTTCCATTGCAATTCCTCTTCGAGTAAGGGCGAACTGGAGCAGCAACTCGGTGGTCGTCTCCGCCTTTGCAGCTTCACCCTTTTCTGTCTTCAGTCTGCCTGAAGAGTCTACTGACAAGACCGTCTCCTTTTTTGAGCTGCTGGTGACCTCCTGCTCTTTCGACGTGAGACGATCCCACTCAATGAAATGCAGGCGATTCTGCTCGTAGAGAGCCACAAAGGCGTCTACTAAGCTGTCTGACGGCTCCAACCGGTTTCGAATGTCCAACCCTGGCAACCGCTTTGCGATCTTGTTGTGCCGCTCTGCCCTTTTATCGCCTTCATCTCAGCCGTCGTGACTGAGAAGGCCTCGTGGAAAAGCCTTCTGAATGCAGACTTCTGCCCTAGATCCGGCTCGTCCCCCAGGGCATCCTTCAAGGCACGAATCAATTCAGCATCGTCCCCCGAGCCTGGGGTGTAAGAGCTCCAACTCAGGAGTACTCCGGCCCTCGCTTGAGGTGTGACTCGACGCGGGCGACGAGCTCAGCAAGCTTGCTTACATTGTTTGTATTCAACGCGATGATTGGACTCACCGCAACTTGCAGGACACGACTCCACTCAAGCTTGGACTTGCAGGGCTAGCGGACGCTCTTGCACGGCGCGCTTTCTCTGGAGTGCATCTCGCAGGGATAATCTATGCTCAAAAAGGCCGCCTGCCGCTCCGCGGTCATGTCTTGCAAAAGTACTTAGGCCTGCAGCATAGAATGGCATAGAACGGAAACATTGCTTGCACCGAGGATACAAAACTCTTGGCATGTCATCCAAGTTCTCATATGCAGCCGTGATGGTGAGCCCACACTTGAAGGTAGTTCCACCTTCCTCTGCGAGCAAGTGCAAGACCCTAGATAAAGCATGTCTATAAAATTGAGGAGACTCACCAAGC